CAGTGTTTCTGAGGCAGGCCTGTCTCCCTCTGCCCAGATCGCTCTTACCCAGAGGGAGGCAGTGTGCTGAATTTGCACACCGGTCCACTACTTCCGGTTAACATCTCCCAGGTTTATATTATCCCATCATACCTCACAAATCACAGCCGCCGTGCCTGAAGTGCCCAAACCTGCGCCCTGTCTCTGCCAGGCCATCAGACAGGCCTCGCTGCTGCCACAGCCCCACAGGCAGGCGGGCCTGGTCCCATCCACAGCCTCCCGCTCCAGGATGTTGGGGTCATCCTGAATTAATACCAGCGCCCCGATACTCAGCCATCCTCTGACCTGGATTCTGCATGTCCCACTCCCATCAGCGGGACACCGGGAGCCCAGAGGGCCGCCAGCCTCTGTCCCTGCTGGTGCCTGACTTCCTGCGATCGGTTGACCAGAAGCAGATGGAGCAGCCCGACGCCGCTGACCGGGCTGAAGGTGCTGTATTCTGGCAGCTGCAGCAGAGACCGCAGAACAGGGAGCTTTAAAAAGAGCCGTCAGGGGGGCCTGATTAGGTTAACTGACAGACTGGAGTCAGAATGAAAGCCAGCCTGATCCTGTGGCTGCCCCGCGGGGGTGGAGACAACCCCCCAGCGCACACGAGAGGGGAGGGGTCACCCCACTGCCACCTCTGGCCCAGAGCACCCATTCCAGGAGAGGGGTCAGAAACACCCCAGGCTCATCCTGGGCTGGCTCCGTTTTGTGCCCGGTGTTGTGCCACGAGTCTCGAATCTCTCCGCTGAGGCTGCCCCGCTGCAAGACGGCACAGCTTTGTCACGATGACACAGGGACAGAGGAGAGAGTGGGGCATCGTCGAGGGCGCAGAGCAGGCACACAGTCTTCGGCGAGCATCCGGCTGCGGCGTGAACTGCTCCCGACATAACGGGCTGTGTAAGACTGTTCAAGAAGCGCGCACACGGGCTCCGCGGGATCGGTGAGCGATGCTCTCCGCACAGCACAACAGAGCGCGGCCCCATCTCTTTATCCTCCGGGCGAGCACGGTACATGCGCCAGCCGATCAATAACGCAGCCGATGCCTGCTTCCTGGGCTTATCGATATCGAGCTCGGCAGCCCGCCCCCCCCTTCTCCCGCGCGGCGGATGTAGGGCAGTGGGTAGGATCTAGGGCTCCCGGCTACAGAAATCATCTTTGGTGGGGGGGGGTCTGTCTCCGTGTCGCCGGGTCACACTGGTAATATTCGCGGCGGGGCAGAAACACGGACCCAGGGGTGAATTTCAACATTATGCAATTTGAGAATGACGTAAACCCATCCAGCGGCGCGGATGTAACAGCCATAACATAATTAGGACTCGGCTGGAGAGGACGGACAGACGCCCGGTGCGCGGCAGTCGCGCCCTGGACACTACGCCACAGCACAGCGCAGTTCGGATACAGTATGTAGCACAGATGGCAGAAGACCGATCCACACTGCAGCATTTGCGGCCGCGAGTCACGAGTGGGAGGGGGGAGGAGGAGGAGGAGGAGAAGGAGTGGGGGCTGGTGTGTTATAACACAGCTGGTCCACGCGTGCAGTTCGGTCTTCTTGTTACAACACAGCGAGCGATACGCCTATCAACACCCACGCGAGTGGGGACCCGAGCGGCCTCATTTCGTAACGCACTCCGGACTCCACACCTGGACACGCCAACACAACACACTCACCATCATATTCTTCTGTCTGGGGGGCGGTAAATGCATAATTATCTGCCCCCCCCGTCCACCTAGATGGCTAGTAAAAAACTCTGCGCACTGCTCATGAATGCTGATACAGAACTGGTTAGATGCACATCAAACTGAATATAATATATTATATTTACACATAATAACACATAAGCACGCATATCTGATCCTCCCCCTGCGTTGCTCCACCAATAACGCCGCCTGTTGTGTAGCTAATTGCAGTTTCCCACACGGTATGTGTAGCGGCCCGTCTGTAACAGCGCTTCACAGCGCCCCGGTTCGTGCGGGGCTCGGCGCACACGCCGCATCCGAGCCGAGCCGAGCCGAGCCACAGCGCGACCCGCAAGCCTGACTCCCAGACCCCGCAACATCTGCTGCCCCGCGCGTCCGCCGGCGAGCGTCACCCGGCTCCTCTTCCTGTCACATCAAAGCCCCGTCGCCTCCGGACCGCGCAGTCACGGCACCGCCGACACCGTCTCCCAGCGCGGCCGGACCCGCCTGCCCCCGGGCTCTTACCTGCCTGTCAGCGCGTCTCAGCCGCTCTCTGCCCCGGTCCCTTCTCGCACACACGCGCGCCGAGCTCCGGCCAGTCCCCTCTTTCAAACCCCGTCTCCCCAGTCATGCAACGATGATCTTTAATCGGAGACGGGTGCGTTGATTTTCGGCGGGTCGGGGTCGGCGGCAGGTGGGGTCCTGAGGCGAATTTCCGGCCGGTGGATTCTCCCCGCTGGTCAGTCCCCTGGCGTCCGCCTGTCCGTCTCGGAGCGTGTCTGAGAAGCGTGTGTATGTTGTCTGCGAGCTTAAGCCTCACCGCTCCAGTCACACATTTTGCAAACCTCGCTAAATGCGCAGGTCATAAAGGAAAGCGACGTAAAAGGCATCTCCCCGCCCCTCCGACGTTCTCGGGCCAATCAAACCTCTCCCTCGCTCTGTCGTCATCGTCATCGGGAACGTCAACAGCTTTTTCTTTGAGCACGCTGGTTTTCTATCGCCCCTCTCCACGCTCTCCGACCCGGGCTCATGGCTGAAAATGGCGCCTCCCTTCGCTGTTCCGCACCGCGGCCTCTAGCGGCAGATCTGCAGAACAGAGAGACATTACCTAACTGTCCCACATTCGCAATGTCAAGATATGACTTCTGTCTCAAACTCACATTCAAAGATGCTCTACTGAAAGATACTGGAATAAATATATAAACACCAGTGAGCAGTGTAAAATATACAGGCCGCCCTATATCACAGGCCGGGATACATATGTTATATAAGCACCTAACTTTACAAGAATTTTGTATGCATCATAACCTCAATATTTTTGTACCTTATATAATTTCTCACTAAAACTTAGCAACATCGGCATTTTACAAGCAGCAGAATTTACACAATGTAGGACCACAGTCTACAGGAGGCAGCTCGTCAGACCCCGCTGTGCCCCTCGCTCACAAGAAGCAGAAACGATTTGTCCCCGCAGCTAAGCGCTCGGACCGGTGGAGCTGCGCGGGGGTTAACACCGCCCAGGCCAGGTGCTGATCTAAGAGCCGCAACAGGATGACAATGCAAATACGGCACTTATTTTTTTTTCCAGTCACCAGAGAGAGGGAGGCTTGTTTGTGTGCTTGGTGTTGTCTGGCGTCATTCTGAAAAACCCACGGACACGCAGGGCAGCGCGACACCTCAAATGCCCGGCCCCGAGACACAACACCGTGCAGCGCGCGGAGCGCTCACGAACACGCCGTGGCGTGAGAATGCAGGGCCTCTGACGTCATGCAAGGCAGAGACGGTGTGGGCCGAGGCTGGGCATTATAGTTTCTAGGTAGATGGGATACCTACCTGCGAGAACAGATGTGTGCTGAGCAATTGCAAGATGACGAGGAGCGGAATGTGTGCCTCCCGGCCTTCCCAAGACGGGACGCGCAACTACGCTGCCCTGTCATGTCTCACACTCCGGGAACCGCGGAGCCGGCGTGACTTTCACAAAGACTAATTGAGCAAATGTTCCATTTTCGCTAGGGGCGTTGTCAGACACAGATCTAGCAGAGTGACTGACTTCGCCTTCCCGTCCTCAGCCCGTACGTATATAAACCACAATACTTTAACACGCGAGTATAATGCGCACAGAAATGCAGGACACAGGCGCGACCTGCACCGCTTTCAGAGGTACAATAGACAGGAGGGATTAGCCAATGTTCTCTACAAGCAAAAGAAAATCAAGGGCTTTTAATACTGTTTGTATTTCTTCTTGGGGATTTTGTCTCAAGCTTGCTCGGGTGTTGTTTTAGGTATGCTATGCCTATAAAATGTGTTTTATTTAACAGGCTTACGGGCGCGCTGTCCCTCTGCGGTCGAGTACTGTCGCCCTGGGCACACGCTGCGCATAGCGACGCCTGGCGACCCTTAGGCGGAAATGCAGAAAAGACCGGGGCTCAGGTCGCGCTGTGT